TCGATCCCGCCACCTTAGGTGTACGTGGCTGGCGCCTTAGCCGGTTGAGCCACAGGCGCCGAGCCCCTTGTGCTATTCTTATAGCCAGTTTTTGACTAACTTATACCAAATTAGAAATGTCTTCCTTTCTCATCTTGCTTCATTCATAGGCCCCTGTGGGTGCAGTATCCTCAGGATGTGACAACCTTCAGTATAGATGATCAATTTCTGCTAGGTGAGAAATGGGGAGGACAGTTGGTAATGGGTTGGCATTGAGCTAAGAATTAGCAATTGTGGAAGCTATGTCTGCAGATGCCCATGGAGGGAGGAGTAAGTGAAGCCGGTGGATTAGGGGATAGGTGCTGTGGTGCTCCCTGATCTGGGAGCTGATCCCCACAGTTCAGAGTTGATTCTGGTGTGTTTTAGGGGATGCATTGCTGGTTCACCCTGTATCAGACTCCGGGGCCCATGGTGTGCAGGTCTATTTGCCTGGCCAAGGGGAGGTGAGTTAAGGAAGGGCCTGGTGGGGAAGGATGGTTGTAGCCAAAGGAGGCAAGGAGGATGGCACCCTTATGCACTAAGTGATCCATTATCTTATCCCTTCTCCCACCCACAGGTGTGGTATGATGTTCAAAGCTACCAGAAGCATTATGGTCCCCAGACTCTGTACCTTCCTGTAACTCTAAGCAGTGTAAGTATGCCTGGCTCATCTGCCAGTTCTGTCTGCCTATATGTTTTCAAGTGGGGAAAGAATGTGTGCTTTAGGGTCTAATACTTAAGTTGCCACAGATGGGCAGGAGCAAAAAATGCTCTAATGCCCTAGGTTGGACAAGGGGGTTACTTCATTCCAGCACTGCTCTTGCCCTAGATCCCAGTGTTCCAGCGTGGTGGAACAATTGTGCCTCGATGGATGCGAGTTCGGCGTTCTTCTGACTGTATGAAGGATGACCCCATCACTCTCTTTGTTGCACTCAGCCCCCAGGTGAGAGCACAGGCAGGGAGCCGCCTCAGCCATGCCTACACCTTCCTAGGATTCAGTCCCTTAAGGTTGTTCCCCCTGTTCCCTTTTGGGCCCAGACACTTATCTGTCCCACTTCCTACTCAGGGTACTGCCCAAGGAGAGCTCTTTCTGGATGATGGGCACACATTCAACTATCAGACTCATCATGAGTTCCTACTGCGTCGATTCTCATTCTCTGGCAATGCCCTTGTCTCCAGGTAATGGGGTACCCATTCTTCCTTGGCTGTTCCCAGAGTGGGCCGGACCTTGGGGGTTGGTCACAGTCCACTGTGCTTTTTTCTCATCTTTACCTTGCTTTGGGTCTTCTCGTGCTGTGACATTTTTCCCCCTGATGAGCACCTGCATTTGCTACCCTCTAGCTCAGCAGACCCCAAAGGCCACTTTGAGACACCAATCTGGATTGAGCGGGTGGTGATAATAGGGGCTGGAAAGCCAGCAGCTGTGGTACTCCAGACAAAGGGTGAGTCACTGATCTGCTCTTTCCACGCTGCCTTTCCCATCCTTTCCCAGGCTCTGGAAAGAGAAGTGAGGCAGAGATGGGGATGGCCTTGCCTGTAGGAATATAGGTGCCATGCTATAGCCTATTGCTATGACATATCACTTCTTTTTTTCCTTTCCTAGGATCTCCAGAAAGCCGCCTGTCCTTCCAGCATGACCCTGAGACCTCTGTGTTGATACTGCGCAAGCCTGGTGTCAATGTAGCATCTGACTGGAGTATTCACCTGCGATAACCCAAGGGATGTTCTGGGTTGGGGGAAGGGGAGCAGTGGTGGTCAAAGTTACTCTTTCTTCTGCCTTGGAGTTTGACCCTTCCCAGACTTCACCTTTCTTATCCCAAGACCCAGATTCTGCCAACATTTGGGCAGGATGAGAAGGGTGACCTTAGGCTCCAAATTCCTCTTGTGATCTCCTGACTTCTCCCTCTTGGTTGATACCAAGCCTTTTCCTTTCATCTTCCCATATCCTGTTGCTCTAACTGGAGCACATTCACTTGTGAAGACCTGAGGACCATAGGGCCCTTACCTCCCCTTCTTTTTGCCTTCTTTGGGGCCCTGAATTTTCCCTCGATTCTATCCATTCATGCCTTTTGTGTATCAATGCCATTTTCTCGGAAGAAGGTGAGGGCAGTGAGCTCTATGGCTCCTTTTCTCTCTCTCTTTTTTTTTCTTCCCTACCAGAACTGCTCTCCCTCCTTTCATTTCTTCTTCCTGACTCTACTCTTGTCAGCTTTCCCCATTCTATGCCCCACTGATACACTGGGACCACCCTTTACCTGGTAAGGGATGAATGGATCAAAAGAGTGGGGTTTGCTGGAGAACCTTTTCCCTCTCATTCCACCCTTTTCTTCTCCCTGATTTCCTTCTAGAGCTGTTGCAGTTCTGACAGGGGCAGTTCTACCTCCCCTATCCCTTGGGGGAAAGAAGTTTCCACCCCTCCTTAAGAGGCGATGGGCATTAAAACTTCTTTTGCTCCTTTCTTGTCCCTTTTGAGGGGCATTCAGGATGGAGAAATCAGTTGTGGTTTCATTGAATCACGGTCACCTGTATTTATTGTTGGGAGAAGGCAGAGGATGGGGGTGGAGATGATCATGTGTGCCCAGGGTTGACCTTGAAGCCCTGGGTCAGGGGTGGGGGAGGACTAATGGGGAACCACGAGGAATATTTAGGGGGAATTTTTTTTACTTCCTCTTGGCCCCCAGCTGTGACACGTTTTGATAAAGGAGAAACAATAAAGGGATAAACCATAAATAACTGTTGGGTGTCTGGATTCTGGTTCTAGTCTGAGCCATAAGAAACCCAAGGGCTTGACAATTTCATCTGGTTACAGCATAAGCATCAGTCATTGGTTGAGCAAGATGAGCAACATCAGGCATTCCTCAGCTTTCTAGATGGAGTTATTTATTTATTTATTTTTTGAGACTGTTTCACTATGCTGCCCTCGGTAGAGTACTGTGGTATCACAGCTCACAGCAATTTCAAACTCTTGGGCTTAAGCCAGGTGTTCTCAAACTACAGCCTGCAGGCCACATGCTGCCCGCCTAGGACATTTATTTGGCCTGCCGGATGTTTTTGCTGCTGCTGCCTGAGCTGCTTAGCAGCTGACTTGTCCCAGGGCCCACAGTCTGACCCTCCAATGGTCTGAGGGACAATGAACTGGCCCCCTGTTTAAAAAGTTTGAGGACCCCTGGTTAAGAGATTCTCTTTCCTCAGCCTCCCAAGTAGCTGGGACTACAGGTACACCCACCACAACACCTGGCTATTTTTTGTTGTAGTTACCATTGTTGTTTGGCAGGCCTGGTCATTTAGAACTCTCCAGCTCTGGTGTATTTGGCCAGTCCCTTAGCCACCTGACCCAGATGGAGATATTTTCACAGAAGAGCTGAGCAGGGTCCTCACATTTTAGTAGGCCTAGATGATCAGAGCTGGTGGGGTCTTGGATAAAAATAGCTGTTAGGTCAAATGTCCTCACACTGAGGACTGCTTCATTCTAGTTAATGGTGCTTTTTCAAGTTCCCTGTTGTTTTAGTGATGAGAAATAGTTTCCTCTATTTTATAGACTAACCATAAGTCTTAAAGATTATTTTACAAGAAAATGGAGTTTGCTTACCGGCTGGGGGGGGGGGGCAGTTTGCCTATACTATGCTCTGTACCAGGAGAAACTGGTGGGTCTTAAGGGGAGTTGGTTTTTGTCTGTTTTGTGTTTTTTAGAAAAAATGCTAAGGACGGCTTGTGCTTGTGGAGGAGTTAGGGGATGCGTTTATTGAATTTCCTAGCTCAGGAAATATTTTTTTTTTTAGCATAGTTCAATTTATTGACATTGTCAATTTATGAACAAGACAGGCATTTTTTTTTCCATGATGTGAGATTGTTTTTCAGGCAATACTTTGAGTCAATTCTCTGTGAGGTAGTCGGCTATCTTGGCACCCCCGTTGTTGTATGTTGAAATGTGGACCACAGGAAATAGTACAGATCCTGGAATCAGAGTTTCTAGAAGGAACACTGCAAGTTGTCCTGTGGCAATGACATCATTCGTGCCAACCTGAGTTTCTTATCCATAAAAAGGGGACAGCCGGACAGATGAGTAAGAAAATCTGAGCACAGGGATTGGATTCCCTGGCCACGTATTGGGTTGCTAAAGCGATTCTGCGTTCAAGGGGCGGTCTCGAAGTAGCTCCCACGTGCTGCCACCCGGGCTTCTGTCTGTTGGCCAAGCGCGCTTGACACGCCGGATGTTACGTCACTGTCCCATGGTTCCCGGGAACAGGAGGTGGGACGGAAAATCAACTTTAGGAAAGGACGCTAGATGACCGGAAGTGGGTCTCAGGTGACACTGCCAGGCCCTGCTGTCAGGGAGCGGGTCGTGGAGCGCCAGAAAGGCGGGACGCAGGGCGGGGCCACTTCAGGGGCGGCGCCTACGGGCGAGCCGGGGCGGGGACCCCTTGTCCCCTCGCGGTCCCGCCCGCTTCGGGGCCCGCGGCGGCGCGGCCATGAAGCTGAAGCTGAAGAATGTGTTTCTCGCCTACTTCCTGGTGTCGATCGCCGGCCTCCTCTACGCGCTGGTGCAGCTCGGTGAGCGAAGCGGGGCGGGGCTGGGGTGCTGTGGGCCGGCCCGAGGGCGCCCGCCGCTGTGCATCCAGCCCTGGGGATGAATCCCTGCAGACACCATTCATCCCGCTCGTCCCTTCGGTCGGCCGCCTGCTGCCGCGGCGTTCTCCCCTCTTTAGAACACTCCGCGGCTCCCTGCCGCACCTCGGATGAAATCTGGACTCCTTCCCGGAGCCTACAAGGCCCCTCATGTTCCTGCTGCCGTCTGCCTAGCCAGCCCCATTTTCCCACTCTCCCTCCCTCTGCCCCAGCCGTACTGCTTCTTGACACTATTTCTAAAACCCCACGCTCATTGCTCTCTGAAGCTCTTGATCTATTCTCTCTGCCTGCGTTGCTTTTTTCCCTACTCTTACCGGGCTGTCTTTCTCATCCTTCAGGTCTTAGCTCTAATGTCACCTCCTCAGATGTGTCTTTCCTTACCACTAAGCTAAAGTAACCCCTTCTTATTCCCAATTCCCTTTTTTTCTCTATACTGTTTATTTATTTTCTTCATGGTCCTTAACATAATTTGTAATGGTTTTATTAATTTGTTTCTCTGATTAGTGTTTGCTTCCTCCACTCAAGTGAAAGCTCTATGAGGGCAGGGCCTATCTCTGTTTTATTCCCTGCTGTATCCCCAGCACCTAAGCAGTACCTCCGAGGAGGAATATTCAATAAATATTTATCCAATGATGGAATCAGTGAATTTAATGATGAGTCTTTGGTCACACAGCGAGGGAAGAGGCAGGCTCTTACACAGGGATTTCAGGACAGTGCCACTTTGTGATCTTCCAGTATTTGAAAGACTGTCCTATTTAAGGACATCCACTTGTTTGTTATGAGTCTAGAAGGCAAAACTAGAGTGAGCAGATAGGAGGGATGGAGGCAGATAATCAGAACAATATCCTACTAAAAATTGTAACAGATGGAATTTATTAAAGATGGATAGAAGCTGTTGATTGAGACAGTGACTTCCTCACATTAGGGCTGTGGAAAAGGCTACTGGAGAAGTTGTGTGCAGATTCCTCTATTGGCTAGGAGGTAAATGAGAAAGTTATGGCCTTTTGGGATGCTGAACATTCTGTGGTTCTCTGCCCCCATCCCCTTTCCCCATGCTTCCTGGGACCAGGCCAGCCATGTGACTGCCTCCCTCCCCTTCGGGCAGCAGCGGAGCAGCTTCGGCAGAAGGATCTGAGGATTTCCCAGCTGCAAGCTGATCTGCGACGCCCACCCCCTGCCCCTGCCCAGCCCCCTGAACCGGAGGCATTGCCTACTATCTATGTTGTTACCCCCACCTATGCCAGGTATGGGCTCTGGTGCACCCAAAAGGGTTGCATCGACCAATAAATTGGAGTTGATTAGGAGAAGTTTGGGGAGCCACTGGGCTGGAAGATAGTCCTCAAACTAAAGCATGCCAAACAATAAGACAAATGAACCACATCTTTACTCATAGATTTATGGGAAAATGGTGGTTTTTCTGTTACAAGAGATCTGGCTATACTATTATGTGAAATACAGATTTCCTGCCTAATTTTAAGACAAAATAATTAAATTTCAAAGAAATTTGCCAATAAGCTAACTTTCTCTTTAGGAATCCTTAGGTGAGAAAGTTAAAAAAACCCTCACTAAATTAAAATAGAAAGGGGCTTGGCAGCATAGTCATACAGGGGTATGAAATAGTTATACCAGTTATTATATACAGTGTGTTTACTTTCTACAGGCAATGTACTTAGTGTTTTGATTTTGTTTTTGTTTTAAATCAGAATGTAACTTTATTACTGAAAAAAAAAAAACAATTAGGGGCTCAGCACATGTATCACAGATTATGGCGCCAGCCATATACACGGAGGGTGGTGGGTTTGAACCCAGCCCAGGCCAGCTAAACAACAGCTAAAAACAACTGTAACAAAAAAATAGCTGGACATTGTGGCGGAAGCCTATAGTCCCAGCTACTTGGAAGGCTGAGACAAGAGAATCATTTAAGCCCAAGAGTTTGAGGTTGCTGTGAGCTGTGACGCCATAGCATTCTACCGAGGGCGACATAGTGAGACTCTGTCTCAAAAAAAAAAAACCAAACCAATTAGGGATGTGGTTTTGGATCTGTAGCCAAAAGGGCCTGGAATCAGATGGCTGCCCCGTCCAGTTGCAGGGGGCTCTAGATGTCACCCTGACATACACACACCACCAAGCTTGGGCTGGGCAGGCACGTCTGAAAGATAAAGAAGCCCAGAAGAGGCCAAACCATACATTCCCAATTTCTTCACTAAACTCAAATCTCTCTTCTTCCTCTGGAGAAGAGTGAGTCAAGGGATCTCTAAAATAAATTCCTTTATCTGGAAATGCAGCACAGAAGGAAAAGAACCTGTTCTACTTGTGTAAGTTTCAAAGCTGGGCTTCATACTCAGATCTATCTGGTCCCAAAACCTGAGCCCTAAGTTTATTGTTTTCCACAGCCAAAGCCCTGGGGTTGAGGTAGTCACCAACATGGACTGGAAGAATGGGCAAGAGAATGTCAGCATGAAGCTGACAGGCAAAAAAGGAGGAGTTTGGGCACTGGCCAGAGAAAGGCCATGAGGGATGCTAGTGACAGCCCAGGAGAAGCTGTCAGGAGTGGGCAAATGGTGCCTATCCCTTCTCTCCTGCTGCATCTCTCCCCTGCAGGCTGGTACAGAAGGCAGAGCTGGTGCGGCTGTCCCAGACATTGAGCCTGGTGCCACGGCTGCATTGGCTGCTGGTGGAGGACGCTGAGGGTCCCACCCCGCTTGTCACAGGGCTGCTGGCTGCTTCTGGCCTCCTCTTCACACACCTGGTGGTCCTCACACCCAAGGCCCAGCGGCTTCGGGAGGGAGAGCCAGGCTGGGTTCGGCCCCGTGGTGTAGAGCAGCGGAACAAAGCCTTGGACTGGCTCCGGGGCAGAGGGGTTGCTGTTGGGGGGGAGAAGGACCCGCCACCACCTGGGACCCAGGGAGTCGTGTACTTTGCTGATGATGACAACACCTACAGCCGGGAGCTCTTTGAGGAGGTGAGCACTGAAAGGGATGGGGTAAGAGGCTAAATGGGGCCACCTTCATGCGTTACCTTGGTTACCAGTGTTGCTGCTGGATGAGAAGTGGGAAGCAGTGGGCAGAGGGTGCCAGTAGCCCTTTCTGCTGCCCTCTTTCCCATGAGCCACCCCTCTCTGTTTCTTCTTTCCTGACCCCCGGTAGATGCGCTGGACCCGTGGTGTCTCAGTGTGGCCCGTGGGGCTGGTGGGCGGCCTGCGATTTGAAGGCCCTCAGGTACAGGATGGCCGGGTTGTTGGCTTCCACACAGCATGGGAGCCCAGCAGGCCCTTCCCCATGGATATGGCAGGATTTGCTGTCTCCCTGCCCTTGCTGTTGGCTAAGCCCAATGCCCAGTTTGATGCTACTGCTCCCCGGGGCCACCTGGAGAGCAGTCTCCTGAGCCATCTTGTGGATCCCAAGGACCTGGAGCCACGGGCTGCCAACTGCACTCGGGTAAGAGAATGGAAGTAGCCATAGGAACCTGGCTCTGGATGAATAGGTGATGGGACAAATAGGATGAGCACCTAGGAAATGGGAGTTTAAATCAGGAGGGACTCTGCAGATCTCTGATCAGCCTTGATTGCTCTACTGAAGGGTAAGCTGGGAGCCAGGGAGGATAAGTAGCCTTCTGCTACTCCATCTCCCAGAGTCCTAGAAACCCATGTGATGCAGAGAGGGTGAACAGATGAGGCTCTGTTTTACACACATGCTGCCCTTCGCACTTTGCAGGCTACACTGTATATGTAGAGGGGGTGGAGAACCCATTTTACACTGAGGGCACCGGAGCCTGTCTGTGGCCAGTCATGTGGCTGGCCCCACGCTCACTGCAGCACTCCTGGCACAGGTCCTGGTATGGCACACACGGACAGAGAAGCCCAAGATGAAGCAGGAGGAGCAGCTGCAGCGTCAGGGCAGGGGCTCAGATCCAGCCATTGAGGTGTGATGGCGACCCCACCCTGACTACCACCTCACTTCAGGCTCAGACCTTGTGGGACTGGGCCCCAGGCCTGCCCAGGATGTGGTTTTCCAATCCTGACCCCTCAGAGCCAGAGGTGCCCGCTCCGCCCCTCCAGGCCCAGGGCCTGGCCTTGCTGCTTCTTTCCTCCCCCAGCCTGCCTTGTGGTACTATCTACAGACTGGGCACAAGTGGCGTATTGAGTTAGGTTGGCCCTGTCTGGGTGGTGCAGAAAGATAGATGGACTCAAGAGGGAGGGCAGCAGAGGAACTCAGTAATTTATTGGGGCTTGGCATGCACTGGGGGGGCTGGAGGAGTTGGGCTAGACCCTCCCCACCTGAGCATGCTGACCCCTCCCTCCTACCTCCAGAATAAAGAATCTCAACCTGGAGGGGCTGCTTGTTTTTCTTCACTTCACATGTCTGGTTCTTGTTTTCTTTTCTTTTTTTTTTTTTTGAGACAGAGCCTCAAGCTGTCCCCCTGGGTAGAGTGCCATGGCATTACAGCTCACAGCAACCTCCATCTCCTGGGCTCAAGCGAGTCTCCTGTCTCTGCCTCCCAAGTAGCTGGGACCACAGGCACCCGCCACAATGCCCGGCTATTTTTTGGTTGCAGCCAACATTGTTGTTTCGGCGGGTCCGGGCTGGGGATTTGAACCCGCCACCTTAGGTGTACGTGGCTGGCGCCTTAGCCGGTTGAGCTATAGGCGCTGAGCCTCTTGTTTTCTAATCCTATGGTTCAGTGGTTCTCAACCGTCCTAATGTTGCGGCCCTTTAACACAATTCCAGTGGGTCGCGACCCACAAGTTGAGAACTGCTGCTATAGTTGGTGGGTATCTGTTCCTGCACAGGCTGAACAAGGGTCAAAACTTGGGAGGTCTGACTTCTCCATCAGACAGAAACCAGTTCTCCCAGGGGCCCCATCACCTTGACAAGAAAGAGCAGTGGCTTCCATCCAAAAACTTTTATTGAGTTTGTGTACCAGAGGCAATCTCTAGGCCTTCCCATGTTACTTTCTCATCATTCTGTTCTTTGCTGTTATTCTGGTTGCAAGGGCTAAGCCCCAAGACAGCTGCTTTTCTCTCTCACCCCTGTCGACCTACCTGACTATCCTCAATTCCATCCAGCTCATCAACTATTCCTAACCTTTCTAATCCCAGGGACCCTCCCCCCAACCTGGAGTCTTGGTAAGGAGTTGTGAGATTTCCAGACTTGTCCATCCCACCTTCTTCCCCCCTTTTTCCAGCTTCACCCCCCTATCCTATGCTGTAGGCCACTAGGCCTCAGGTAGATCCTCCTTGGGAGATGCCTCTTCTGGTGGGGCTTCCTCAGGTGCTGGCCTGTGGGCAACCCCTCCCTGTAGCCATGCTGTTTTCAGCATATCTTTCAGCCCACTAGGAAAGAGATAGCCTTGGGTCTCTCCTTCCCCATCAATGGCCCCTCCAAGCCCCTCCAGTGCTGTTTGCAGGTACCGCAGGCCAACAAGCACCAGAGCCTGTAGGGGAGGCAAAGGGAGAGAGTCAAGGAGGGTTGGCTGTTTGAGGGGTCCCAGGTAGAAGGAGGCCTCAGATGCTGACTCACCTGCAGCAGGAAGGTGACAGCCAGCATGCTGCCTAGTGTGCTGGCCAGGTCCTGCAGGTGCCCCAGCAGCACCTCATGGCATCCTTGGGCCCAGAGATTTAGGTTGGGGTGTCGGGGGTCGAAGAGGGGGTGGGCATAGGGGTCTGAAAGTTGACTTTGCAGGCAAGGCCGAGGTGAGTGGGGGTTGCAGCAAGAGAAAGGGACTCCATCAGTCAGGTATAGGCCTTCAACATTGCTCTGAATCCGGCTGCAAAGGGAGGGGCAGGGGTTAGGATGTGTGAAAATAGATGACTAGGTTAGAAGCTGAGGTGCACAAAAGTTGAGCATGGGATAATGATAGTTAAACATTTACTTACTGCTTCATTTACATGCTAGTCAAGCATAATTCATTTATCTTCACAACAAATCTATAAGATCAGTACCTATCTATACTATACAATAGGTTCTATTATCTCCATTTTACAGATGAAGAAATGGGCCTACAGTGGTTTGGTAACATTCCCTGGGTTGCATAGCTAATATATTTATATTTTTTTGCAGTTTTTGGCTGGGGTTGGGTTTAAACTCACCACCTCCGGCATATGGGGCTGTTGCCCTACTCCTTTGAGCCACAGGAGCCACCTGCATAGCTAATATTTTTATTTTATTTTTGAGACAGAGTCTTACTGTGTCACCCTCAGTAGAGTGCCATGGTGTCAAAGCTCACAGCAACCTCAAACTTTTGGGCTCAAGTGATCCCTGCCTCAGCCTCCCAAGTTGCCAGGACTATAGGCATCTACCACAACACCCAGCTATTTTTTTTAGAGACAGGGTCTTGCCCTTGTCAGGCTGGTCTTGAACTCCTGAGCTGAAGTAATCTACCTTCCTCTCAGGAGAGTGCTGGGATTACAGATGTGAGCCACTACCCCTAACTCTACACAGCTAATAAATAGCAAAGCTGTAACCCATTCTTCCAGTCATTGTGGTCTACTTATTGCCCATTTGGGTGAGGTGGGGTTGCAAGGCAGCAGGAGGGAGCCTGTCTGGGAAGGAGGAGGAGGAGAGAGAAATAAATCACTCACTCAACCACGTCCTGGTCATTGGGGTCCAGGTAACGGCTGCTGACCCACTGGACCCCAAACCAATCCTTGTACCCATGGCGCCCACAGCAGTGGTGCTTCAGCTGCAGCTCATCCATCAGCCGTTTGGCATGACATCTCCCCGGCACCTCTGTGTCCTTGTAGTGAGCCAAGGCAGTTCCCAGGCCTTCCTCTAGCCCCTGGTCCAGACTCCCAGGCAAACCCAGGGCAAGCCCCAGGGCAAGGACCAGGAGCCCCCCACCCCCAGCAGTGCCAGCCACCAGCAGTGGTCCCAGGACCCCTCTCCAGGGAGGGTATCGAGCTGCATCCAGACTTGCCCGGCTGGCTCCTGCACCCCCGAATCCTGTGCCCAGAGCCACTGCACCGGCTGCGAGGGCAACCTGGGGTAGGGCAGGGAACCGGCAAGAGGGAGCCAGGAAGGTGCCAAGGTGCGACAGCTGGACCAGGAGGTGCCCGCTACAGAGAAAGGTGAGGCCACCGGCCAGTGCCAGCAGCCAGGAGAGTAGCCAGAGCCCCTGCGCCAGGCGGATGCGGGGCTGGAGGGGCAGCACCAGCGGCAACACCGGCGCCATCTCCCATCTCTGCCCAAGGGAGTGCGGTGCTGTCGGGGAGGGAGGTTGGCCAGGGCAGGATGCTGACTCAGCCCATCCCGGCTTGAGCTGGGCTAATGCCACCCTGACCCCAATACCCTGAGCATCCTTCCACCCTCAGCTTTAATAATCTGCCGCCCTGTCAGCCCCAATTCGGGATGTCTTGGCTTTGCCCCTTAGGAGAAGCTCCGCCCTGGGCAGAAGGCACGTTTCATGACCCCGCCCCCACCCACTCACGGAAGTGGGGGGCTGGTCATTTCAGTCCCGAGGGGCTAAGGACTGCGGAGAGCGGACCCCAGGGCCCGTACTCCCTCCCCGATGCCCTGGGAAACCGGAGCGAAATCCCGGAAGGGCCTGGAGGCCCGAGGCCGGGAGCGGGTGAGGGGTCAGCTGGCGGGGCCCGCCCCCGTACTGAGCAGCCAGGCCCGGACAGGGAGGGGTTAGCAGGCGGCCCGGCCCCTCCGGACCCGCCCCCCCTCCCGCGCTTCCTGGCGGCTCCGCGTCCGGCGACTGTTTGTGCGGCGGCGCTGGGGCCTGAGACTGTCCCTGCCACCCTCCCCAGGGAGCCGAGAACGGCCCCGGGAGCGTACGAGGGCCCAGCGGCCCGGGTGACTGCTGCCCCGGCCCCACAGCGCCCCCTCCAGGCCCCTTCCCCGCGCCTGACAGCGCCCCCTCGGGGTGGCACGGCTCTCCGCGCGCGCCCCGGGGTGCTTCCCTTTCCCTTCTCCCTGGCCATGGCCCCCGCGGCTTAGACGCCTCCTCCGACGCCGGCGCTCCGAGCAACCGGGGGGCCGGATGGACGGGGCCGTGGGGCCCGGTGAGTACGGGGCGGGGCGGGCGGCGTGCCTCTTCCCGAAGTGCCCGGCCGTCGGGCACCGCCGGAGCCCTACGACGGCTGTCTGGAGGCATCCCCGCGTGCTCCTTCGTCCCGGGGACTCTGAGCATCCTCCTCAGTTTCTCAGATCGCCCTGCTTAGTTACTTTGGGTACTCCTGCTGTCATTTCGGACTTCCCCAATATCATCTTGCCTTCCATATAACTTTGGGCCGTTTGAAGGTTTTGTGACACTGTCGTTACTCTGGGCCTCTTCTCCTGGTCCTGCAGGTCTTTTTACTTTTGACCCCCACTGGTTAGCCGGGGACCTTCACTGTGACTCTGCTCACCTCTGATTCCTCTTTTGTTACCCTGGATTTCTTCCCTGGGTCTTCAGTATTATTCTACTCTCCTTCCCTCTCCTTTTTTCAGTGTCCCGGCACAGTTACTTTACTTCTGCTGGAGATCTGAGCTTGCTGGTGGGGGGGGGGAGAGCGGGGGAAGGCTGCAGTCCTTCACTAGTACCGTGCCTCTTTGTGGCTCCCACGTTCCTCGGCAGTACTCCATATTTTCTCCCTGGTACTCCATGGTACTCCCAGTATTTGCGGAGGATGAGAAGGCAGCAGGAAGGGAGCTTTGCCTGCCTGCCCTGCCAGAAGGAGGCCCTTGATCCTCTACCACCATCTCCTCTTTGGAGAAGCCTCCAAAGCTGGGGCTGCTTGAAAGGGGCAGTTCTATTGGACAAATAAAAAGTTGTGTGGTGGCTCGGCGCCTTGGCTCAGCGGCTAGAGCGCCAGCCACGTACACCGGAGTTGGTCGGTTCGAATCCAGCCTTGGCCTGTCAAAGAACAATGACAACTACAACCCCCCCACCCCCCACCAAAATAGTCAGGCGTTGTGGCGGGCACCTGTAGTCTCAGCTACTTGGGATGCTGAGGGAAGAGAATCGCTTAAGTCCAAGAGTTTGAGGTTGCTGTGAGCTGTGATGCCACAACACTCTACCCAGGGCAACAGCTTGAGACTCTGTCTCAAAAAAAAAGAAAAAAAAAAGGCCGCGCAAAGGAGTAGGGCACTGGCCCCATATGCTGGAGGTGGTGGGTTCAAACCCAGCCCTGGCCAAAAACTGCAAAAAAAAAAGTTGTGTGGTGACAGAATCCCCTCAACCTTTCTCCAGGTACTGGGCACATTCTGAGCACTTCTTGCCTCTTTCCCAGGTGAGGGCCCTGCTCAGGAGGCCCTGCAGTCCTTGAGCCAGCGAATTGGGGTGCAGGAGAAGGAAATGGAATTAGTGAAGGCAGCCCTGGCAGAAGCCCTTCGCCTGCTTCGGCTGCAGGCGCCCTCCACTTCCCTCCAGGACTCTGGCACACCAGCTCCTATAAGAGACAGGTATACTGTCAGCACATTCCCCTTTCCCTCCTTCCTGGGGTGCCTGGGGCACCAGGTTAATTCACCATCTCTCCAGCAATCCTGCAGTCCCCCCAGGACTGCCACCCACATGCAGCCCCTCCTTGGTGAGCAGAGGCACCCAAACAGAGACAGAGGTGGAGACTGAGCCATCCCCTGGACTCCCTGGCCTGAGTAATGGTCCCCCAGCCCCTCAGGGGGGCAGCGAAGAGCCTAGTGGGACCCAGTCTGAAGGAGGGGGCAGCAGCAGTAGTGGGGCTGGCTCCCCTGGCCCCCCGGGGATCCTCAGGTCTGTGCAGCCCCCTCAGCGCACTGACACGTAGGTATTCTGTGGCAGGGGCTGGGAGGGGTGGGAGGTTTGTGGAGCACAATTGGAAGGAATAACTGTCACCTATTCACTATACCTAGGCCACGAAGAAATTCTTCCTCCTCCTCCCCCTCAGAGCGGCCTCGGCAGAAACTCTCCAGGAAAGCAGCTTCCTCAGCCAACCTGTTATATCGATCAGGGAGCACAGAGAGGTGGGTGAGACTCCCACCCAACCCACCCAGCCCTCGGCTAAGGCTCTTGAACTTCTACATCCCTCACCTTCCTCCTCTGGGCAGGATGAGGGGACCTCATTGCCCAATAGGAAGAAAGGAACAAGAAATCCTAAGGTTCCTTCCATGTACCAGGCATTATGCTAAACCCTAGACCTCCTGCATCTCACTCAGTCCCCACAACATCCTTGGGGGGTAGGTGGTCTCATGTTGTCCATTGCATGAGAAGGAGGCTTAGAGAGGGTAGGTCATTTGCCTGGGGTCACATAGCTAGTCAGGATTCGAACCCTACTCTTCTTGACTCTAGTTCCCCTGCTCTTTCCATCATATCACAACACACCTGAGATTCCAAGAGACTATTCCAAAAGCACCCCTGATTTTCTTTCTTTTTTTTTTTTTTGAGACGGAGCCTCAAGCTATCCCCCTGGGTAGAGTGCCATGGCATCACACTCACAGCAACCTCCCACTCCTGGGCTCAAGCGAGTCTCCTGCCTCAGCCTCCCAAGTAGCTGGGACCACAGGCGCCCGCCACAACGCCTGGCCATTTTTTGGTTGCAGCCATCATTGTTGTTTGGCGGGCCCGGGCTGAGGATTCGAACCCGCCACCTTAGGTGTATGTAGCTGGCGCCTTAGCCGCTTGAGCCACAGGCGCCGAGCCAGCACCCCTGATTTTCATGAATGGCTGTCCTCAGAGTTTCAGCCCTCCCTCCCCCCAGATCTACCAAATACCAATCTACTTACTTCTGGAGGGCAAGGGGACATTCTAGTGGCTCAACATAGTTATCTCATAGTGTGTAGAGGCCCCAACACACCTGCATGTTCATTCTACCTCTGTCCTTAGGCTCTACATTATTCTCTGAAGAGATTTTATCACCTTATCATTATCTAATGACAGTGATCTCTGGAATTCACCTGTTACTTTTCTCTTGAGAGATAAGGATTTTCTAGCTTACCTCCCAGGTCCCTGAAAGGCAGGGCTGGTGTACTTTCTGGATTCACTTTGGTCTCATTTTATTTTATTTTATTTTTATTTATTTAGTTAGTTAGTTTTGAGACAGGACCTCAAGCTATCCCCCTGGGTAGAGTACCATGGTATCACAGCTCACAGCAACCTCCAACTCCCGGGCTCAAGCGAGTCTCCTGCCTCAGTCTCCCAAGTAGCTGGGACCACAGACGCCCACCACAATGCCTGGCTATTTTTTGGTTGCAGCCGTCATTGTTGTTTTGGCGGGCCCAGGCTGGATTCAAACTTGCCACCTTAGGTGTATGTGGCTGGTGCCTTAGCCACTTGAGCTCCAGGCGCTGAGCCTGGTCTCATTTGGGAAAGGGAAAGGTCGATAGCCAAAGGACTGATGGTTTGGAGGAAAGAGAGAGGCTCCGGCACTGTGCATTGCCTCTTATAAGTTTGAGGCCTTATGCTGCGCTCTTAGCCCCTTCAACCTCAATGTTATCTCTTAAGTGGAACTAAAAGTCCTCATCTACTCTAGGGCTCTGATGCCCATAGTGCAGTGAGCCTGCAGAGGTGACTGTGGACTCTGGAGTAACTCATCTTGTGTTCTGCCCCTCCCCACTCAGGCGCTGGGACCTGACCCCAGTCCCTTTCCCAATCCCTGTCTTTCTTTCTTCCCAACAGCCGTGGGGGAAAAGACCCTCTTTCCAGCCCTGGGGGGCCTGGGTCCCGGAGGAGCAATTACAATTTGGGTATGTACCCAGGGACAGAGAGAAGCACTTGGATGACAGAGTCAGGGTTTGGGATGCAACCCCAGGAACTATTTTTGGGTATCTGTGAGGTATGGTGGGTGGAGTTCTGCTTTGGCTTTCCTGGAAGGAAGGCTGCAGGGTGGTGGTTGATACCCCTGCTTTTCTCTGTAGAAGGCATCTCAGTGAAAATGTTCCTTCGCGGCCGCCCTATTACCATGTACATCCCGTCTGGCATCCGCAGCCTTGAGGAGCTGCCCAGCGGCCCACCCCCAGAGACACTCAGCCTTGATTGGGTGTATCCTACCCCCTCCAATCCCGTGTGAATCACCTTTGCCACCTTGGGACCCCCTTCTCTTTCTTTACAGTTTTCTCCTGTGTCCATGGGGACAGGGAGGCTTCTGAATCCTTCCTCTACCATCCTTCGACTGATGGTACTGTCTCCCCCTGTTCCTCCTACCCTTGATCCGACCCTTTCCTTGACTGCAACCTTTAACCTAGTTATGGGTACAGGGGTCGTGACTCCCGCTCTAATCTATTTGTGCTGCGCTCTGGGGAGGTGGTCTACTTTATTGCCTGTGTGGTGGTGCTGTACCGGCCTGGGGGAGGCCCAGGGGGCCCTGGAGGTGGCGGCCAGAGACATTACCGGGGGCACACTGACTGCGTTCGATGGTGAGGAGCTTGGGGCCTGAAGCCCAGGGATGGGGGCCTTGGCAGGAAGAGGGTCTGGGTGGGTATGAAGGAGCAGGTGAGGAGAGTTGCCTTGCTCTGCAAGAGTGGAGCAGTCTCTTAAGAGACCCTTTCCCTGCTCGGCGCCTATAGCTCAACCGGCTAAGGCACCAGCCCCGGACATCTAAGGTGGCGGGTTCGAATCCCCAGCCCGGACCCGCCAAAACAACAATTATGGCTGCAACCAAAAAATAGCCGGGCGTTGTGGTGGGCGCCTGTGGTCCCAGCTACTTGGGAGGCGGAGGCAAGAGACTCGCTTGAGCCCAGGAGTTGGAGGTTGCTGTGAGCTGTAATGCCACGGCACTCTACCCAGGGGGACAGCTTGAGGCTCTGTCT